CTGACATAAACAACAGGCAGACATGGCTCATGGGTTCCTGTGGCTATCTGGGCAGGTTCATGAAATACTTCATGAACAAAAAGAACAAATATGAGGAAATTTGCACTCCTCTCTACTTCATTCTCTCCATTCAGCATGAAAGACCAAGAAAACTTTGAGTAGACGAAGGATAAGCGGAGAGTAGGCAAGGAAATCAAGGGCTGGTTTGACAGGTGCTTTTTTCCTTGCACAAATGAGATTCCATACCACCCACCTACTGTGTACGTTTGATGGGATTTTTCATATTTAATTGATTCTGGAATGGTTTGCTAGAAAAAAAAGAGTATTGTATTTAACAGTGAAGCCAAACTATTATTTCTGAGGGAAAAAAATATCTAACCTCCTGTCTCTCAAGTTAAAAAAAATTTCAGGGCATTCTGTAACATAAAGAAATTCCTACTTGAGGTCTGGGAACTCTTCTGGAATTTTAAACAGAAAGATAACCTAACTCTACCTCTGACAAGTAAGCAAGATGACTCCCATTGGGTGGGAGATTAATTGTTTCACTCTAACCATTTCAGTTGCAAAAATAAACAATGCTATCAATTTGTTTTTCGTTAAACCCTCCCTAGCTTTTTTTCTCTTGGGAGAAGAAGAAACTCACAACAAATTTTCTGATGGGAAAACGCCTCCTCCTTCCTAGACTGAGGAGTCATTGCTTCAATAAGCTGTTCCCTTTCTAAAGCTCTTACGTAAAGATAAATCACGTGGCCCAGGAAACAGTTTCAGACACTTGGTTTTCAGTGAGTTTTTGGTAACTGTTGATAGCAATTTGTCATCCACAAAATCAAACAAACATACTTAAAAAGAAATTTCCTTTAAAGAACATTTTTTTCAACAGGTAAAATAATAAAGAAATAAAAAAGTAGACTAGAGTAGATAGTAAAGAATAGTAAGAGTTTTGCAAAATATGTTATTTACTTGATTTATAGTGGTTATAAATATATTATCCCAACAAGGCTTAGCAATTTTTTTTAAATCCAGACTTTCTGGAAATTTAGGTGGAGAGCTGAGTTCAGGATTGATCATACCAGGATTTGGCAACATGGGGCACCAGGGTGCCATACAGGCTTTAAACCAGTGGTGGGTTGCTCCCGGTTTGGCCCGGTTCGGGCGAGCCGGTAGTGGTGATGATGTGACATCAGCGAACCAGTTCTCTATGACTGGGAGCTGGGCCCGCCCCCACATTATACCTACCTTTATTTGTTGTTTTTTAGCCCAGCTGATAGGCGCGGCAGAATGGATTGCTGCACCTCAGCTGGGCAGAAATCTAATGCGCTTGCGTGCATGCGTGCATGCGAGTGAAGCGAGCATGCGCACAGCGATCTCATGCAAAGCACGTGCGCGAAGAGAACCGGTGGTAATAACGGTTGGAACCCACCACTGCTTTAAATCCCTTTTGGGGACTCTTCAAAGCTACTATTCAACTTGCTAAAAGTAACATAGTTTCTAGCCATTTTGAAGTGAGAAACATTAAAACAAAATAAAGTGTACTGTAAGTCCTAAAAGAATCTTAGTCAGCATTAAAGACCCCTCCCCAAACTTAAAGAAAACTCATTTGAAAATCCTGGCTTCACTTAACCCTGCCAGGCAAAATCATTATGCAACCTTTGTCATTAAAAGTTTGCCTGACCCTATTCCTAAATGTTCCTACTTTCAATCAAATTAGAATATTTTTATTATTATTTCAGCTTGTTCATGTTTAATGATGTCTCTCAGACTACACAATGGTGTGTAGTAAAAAAAAAAAGCTGAAACTAAAAGACAGGAAGCTTTACAACACTAAACTATTATTTGGTTATTCCTATATAAACACAGAATACTGTAGTTCTGTGATAGATAACCTCTTGCATAAGAGATGCTGGTTTGAGAAAATAGCTTAAGTTCTACAAAATGAATCTTGTTCTTTCCTGAGTTTTAGGCCTATATTTTAATGGAGCAGAACTTTACTGTAATGAATTCATTTAAAACCTCATGTGTTACTTCACTAAACGACCGAGCCAAAATACTGTTGGTAATCTTAATTGGTAAAGCTAGAAAATCTGGCAAATCCCCTTGAAATCACAAGATCTGCTTTATTCTGAAATTGGTTAGCTTTTAGTTATCCTCTTTTTTTTATTATGAAGCTTTGTTTTGTAAAATAATGCCCTAATAATGACTGGAGGCAAACAAAGCTTATCTCCCTAGCCAACAGCCAAGAACTCAGAAGATTAAAAGGCATAATGTGGTTGGCCATAAATTCTGAGATATTCAGTGGGAATAGACTCACTCTCTCACACCATACTAAAGCTATTTTTAAAATCCTTCTTCCTTTATCTAAATATAAATAGTTTATATTTTGTACAACAGTGACTTTTTTCTTGCCAATCACTGTATGATAACCCTGATCCAACATCAATAGCTTGATAAATATACAAATATTTTTCCTAGCAGTGTTTAATTTCCTAAAAACCAGTATATCAATAAATTAATTAGACTTGCTTAAGGCTAGTAAAGTTTATTCCTATGAGGAATATTGTGGTTTATTGGTTACACTGGTGCACATGTGGAAGTATTAATTTCAAGTTTTGTTTTGGGGCAGAAGTAAAGACAGCATGTAATAAATAATTTAGTATTTGTCATGAAAACGTTACCAAAATGTACACAATAACAATTGTAGCCACAGTAGACTATTTTGTGTTTTACTGGGTACAGTTTGTAAAATTATGAAATATTTCAAAACTGTATACCCAAAAAAAATTACAGTTGGTATAGATAGCTTTGAGAGATAAACTAGATAGATCTGTCATGGATATTGCTAATTTCAAATAGCTAGAACTGAGAGAGAAGGAGTAGGGAATGCAGATTGAGGCAAAGACATGAGGGAAGTGGTAGTTAAACCTTCATATCTCTCTAGTCCCAGCTGAAATTATATGCATTGACTCTACTATTCACAATGGGAGCTTTTTACTTAAATAACATGAATAGGGGAAGAGAATTAACTGTTCTAATCTCAATCTGGATTCTTGACACTGCAATGGCTATTTGATTTTAAAATAGAACAAGACATTTATTTTAAATCACATCTAATTTGGCCCTTAAGAATCATTTGAAATATACTAGTATACATTCTGTTCATGGTTTAGTGTCCAAAAATGTGGCTACCCACTCTTGATTTCATTGAAACAGGTTTGGTTGAGTTTTCAAAACTTTCATCTGTTGGTAAAGAGGACATGAAGATCTTGTATGCATTGAATGTTTGTATTATGTTATTACTCAAAATCTCTGTGCCTTTTAATCTTCATTTTTTTCTTTGATGTAAATGTCTAATTCCATATTTATTCCAGGTTGATCTAGTTCCTAGAGATGCTGGCGACCATCGACACTAATTTTAACATTTACCTCTAAATTTATAGGCAGAATATTGAATGATGTATCTTCTACTGATGCTTTCTTCTATTCCCAATGCACTCAGTCCTGTTTTAATGGGATAATAAATAGAAAATTATTCCTCCATAATTAAAATGCTGAATTCAAACTAGCCCATGATGTTTCAAAGTTTACCTGGAAATTTTCCTTATGTATGTTTCAAAAATGCATTTTACTTCTTTCTAATTTCACCCTCTCTTTTACTTTCTCCCCACAAAACACTCTTAACAGTTCCTCCAACTGTTGAGGAGTAAAAATCAGAAAGATTTTCAATCCAGGGATGTTTAGTTGGATTGCAATCTAACTACCCAATCTTGATTCAAAATCTGGCCTAGCTGTGAATTCTAACTGCTTTCCTCTTAACATTTCTAAACCTGGTTTTTCCACCAGTGTTGGAACTAATTGCTTTTCCCATTTCCCTCCCCGCCCCCCCCCTCCCCCCCTTTTTTTCTTTAAAAAATCCTGGGAATTCAGGCTCACATTTCACCCATGACTTGTAGTTTCCTGTACTAAGAACAACATCTCCTGTGCCACTTGTGTTTGGTTTCTTTGAAAACTGATCTCAGCTGGAGAAACAGGGAAATCAGATTAGCACAAAATAGTAAACAACCAAAAAACCAGCATATGCACTATTTAATAGGATAAAATAAAAGTGGGAAGATGATTTTAGAATATAAATGTGTGAAAAAGAAGTTTTGCAAGTCTTGCAAAAATGTCTGAAATACTTAGAAATTTACCCACGTTTTTAATTTAAAAACAGAGTAAATTCCACCTCAGGAATTTATAAGATATCAATCTTTAGTTTAAACCCTACCTTACACAAATTCATTTTTAATATTAAAGTGGATCTAATGCTACAGTAATGGATAAATTAAATAAATATGATAGTATATGGATGAAAGATGACAGCTGTCTGTACAAAAGGAGAAACTTGAATTCAGTAGGCCTTAAAGCCATGTAAGCTGTTGGTAAAGATCCACTTTTTCATAATCAAGAAAGTTTTTTTTCTACTCAATCCTCCTCTGTCTGCAGGATATTCCAAAGACAGCTGATTTATGTCAGTTATACTTTAATTTACTCTGAGCACAATGCAACCAATGGCCATTATGGGGTTATTATCCTCAGAATATAAAGAATGCTCTGTTTTAGGCTCTAGACAACCTTTTAGAATTCAGCTGTGGGAACAATTTGTTTCCTATTAGTGCTACTCTCTAATGAACCACCCACAAATCAGTGGTATAAAACATAAAAAGACCAAAAGAAAATATAAAATAGTAAAGGAAGGACTCCTTCACATTAGTCAGAATTAATCTAACCCCAATTTGCATACACACGGGTAGTCCTTACACAAACACTTGATCCCTTTGCTTTCAATGGGATTACATGTTTGAGTAATGCCAACTTGTATGCTTATATGGAGACACCTGATCCTAGCTGCTCTTCTACAGCCCCTGGCATTATCAGGGCAGTGATTCTAATGCCAATTCTGAACTGTTTCTGTCTGTCTAACATTCCTTTTTAATCCCCATCCTGCCTGCCCCTCCCTTATGTAGGGTTACTTTAGTGATCCTTGGAATATTTTTGACTTCCTCATCGTAATTGGCAGCATTATAGACGTCATTCTCAGTGAAACTAATGTGAGTATAACTCTACTCTCCTTAGGATGCCACCAAATCCTCCTTCTCTTCTTCTTTACTTGTTATCTTCTCTTTTTTTCTGGTTTATGTTTTCTTCCCTCTAGTCATGCTTTTATTGACCTTGCCGTTGTCCTTCTCCCGGGGAGGGGAAAAAAGGAGGAGGGTTGAAGACCTCCTTTCTTTTCACTGGTCACAACTGGTGGCTGGTGAAGGCGCACAGAGATTGGGGTATGTGTGCTTTTTTCCCCTCCCCAAAAGATGAAACCAAACCAAACCAGACATGTTTGAGTGTAAAGTTCTAACTAACCAGGCTTTTTATTGATACCCTCCATCATGTTACAGAGGTATGAGCAACCAGTACTGTAGAGTGGTAAGAGAGTTTTTACTATGCCCACATAACCTCTTTCTTTCCTTATTTTTTCTCTTCTCTCCCTCTTTCATGCTTTATTTATTTATTTGTTTGTTTGTTTGTTTTGATTTTTCTTTGGGGTTTTTTATACCCTTTTTCCTTCTCTCTCCTGTTTGTTTTCTTCTTTCTCTTCTTTTTTCTTTCTTTTTTTTTCTTTTTTTTTCTTTTTGGTTTCCCTGACACATGCAGCACTATTTCTGTGATGCATGGAATACATTTGACGCCTTGATTGTTGTGGGTAGCATTGTTGATATAGCAATCACCGAGGTGACCGTAAGTAGCTGGCGTCTGTCCATGAATGTGCCTGCTCTTAATATTCATTTGTCTTTTCTGGGTTTTTTAATCTCTCCTTTTTTTACTCTCTTCCCTTCTTTCTCCCTCCCTTTTTATTTAAAGTTTTTTTTTAAGGATTGCTTATTTTCTTCTGTTTTTGTTTATGCTTGTTTCTTTATGTTTTAGAACAATTTTGAAGATTTTCTGACTGTTGCATCATTTTCTTTCCCTCATAATCAGCCTGGCATGAATAAAAACTGTATAGTAGAAAAAAAAAATCTATGAAAAGTTTGTGGAGTGAATGCACAATAAGCAAGTTTCTGTCCTGGGAAGTTGTAGAAATTAGTCAAGACTGATTTTCCAAAACTATGTTAAATTTCCTAGGGCAATGAAGTACTTGCCACTTCACAAAGAATTATAGGGCAACTCTTTCGAGGTGGAATAGTTGGAACCAGATATGGAAAAACAATTGCAAAGATCTTTATTTTTCCAAATTCTTTTCTTCAATCTTGAATCCACAAGACTTAACAACTAAGCTAACATTCTATAATAAAACTATTACACACTAAATGAAATTATATTATTTGTCTCTCAATTATTTATGGAAAAAAACTTCATGAGAGGAGGAATTACTCTAATTTTTTAAAAAAATCATTAGTACCAGCTAAATTCTGGCTCAGAGAATATTTTGGCATTGTGAACGTTATCTATGTGATTTGTTCACTATTTGGCATTGCTTCAGTGTGGGCATCTACAGAGATCTTGACCAGCTGTAGCTATAGTGATGAAAAGAAATATCATTCATTATCATAAGCTGAGGGAATTATGTTTGGCAAAATCCGTTATTTAATTATAACACCACCCCAATATTATTTACAATTTCAGAATATTCAGTAAATTTTACTGAGCTAATTCCCATTCCAGATAAAATTCTAATTTGGACCTAAAATCAGATAAATTAGATTAATCATACATACGTTCCAATCTCCATAGGACAGCCACATTATTTAGCAGGAAAATATGTGAAATGTGATTGATTGATTGTGCAGGTTTTTATAGCCCAACCAAAACAACAGACTATGGGCAAGTTACAGGTTATAATATAAATAAGCAATCATAGGAATCAAATAAATTACTGTTTTTCCCCGAAAATAAGATCCTGTGTTATATTTTTTTGAACCCTGAAATAAGCGCTTGGCCTTATTGCTATGCGCTCAAAAGCACAATTGGGCTTATTATCAGGGGATGTCTTATTTTGGGGGAAACAGGGTATTTTTAAAAGAAGCAATGCTTTTAACAATACTAGTATTGAAACAAAAAATAAATGGCCTCGATTTATACACCAATAATCCTAACTAGGATTGAAGTCCCACTAAAATAAAACTGCCTTTTAAGAATTTCTCAAAAACATGAGGGAAGAGGGTTTATGGATCTCTAGGAGTATTGAGTATATTTTCTAAATATTAATACAGTACACTAATACATTTAATTAAGGTTAATTAAATATGGAACAGCAGAGATTGATTAAGTTAAACAGTTATTTATAGAACAAAAAAGTTGACTAGGGCTGTTTTTCTTCCCAGTACCAAATAGTGTTGAAGTGCAGATGACATTAATATTGATTCCACTTCACCTCTAAAGAATACCCTTCTACTATACAGACCCTAAAATTTTTGCATATGTCTTTTTATTACCTGGCATGTTTGAAGTTTCTCTTTTAATCTTTGCTTTAATTCTAACATTTCTTATTAAGCTATTCATTTTGAATTCCTTCTAACTTTTTTGCATATCTGATGCACTGATAATTTGCAATCAATTAAAGATGGAGTTTGTTCTGAAATGTTTGAAGTCATATTGCACATATTCCTATAGAATAAGAAACTGGATGGCCCTGTATATCAATTTGTACCTTCAAAAAAATCCTGCTCTGTGGCAGCCACCCAACAAATAGGCATTGTTTTTTGCAGAACAAATTGAAAACTTTCCCTCTTCACTTACCAATTGCATCATTCCTTTGTCGTTCCTACCATGAAAGTTTTGCTTTGCTTATGGTTTGTGAGCCTGTCTTGCGTGCCTGTATGCTGGCTTGCTCTGCACAAACTGGAATGGTGGGTGGAGGGAAGAAGAAAAGGAACATTTCTGAATAGACTACACGATATTAGTTTTTTACTTGATTCCAAAATCAGATAGCATATGATAGCCTATATAGCCTGTACTAACTAACTAAATTAGTCTGTAACGGATCTCTAAAAATTATTGCAAAAGTAACAGGTTTGTATAAAATGAGCCTTTCTTGGCATTAATTACTTTGTCATGAAAGGTGATGGATGCATTAGATAGGAACACTGTGAAGTCTCATCTGCACGGATTTTGCCATGCAGAGACAATTTTATTGAAAAGGCATTTAATCACCAGAAAATCAGAAGGCAAGGGTAAAAAAGTCAGATGTACATAATCAGTGTATGTATGTGCACACATGAATGTGTATATATATATATGTGCATGTGTGTGAATGTATTCAAGTGTTTTTCAGTCGAAACTAAATTTCATAATGGAAGAAAATATTTCTTAGAACTTTTTAACAATTTTGAAAAAGATGCATCTTTGATATTTTATCTTTAAAAAAACAGGGAATAAATAAATATGTGTTCATATTTCTTTTTTAAAATTCCCTTACGTTTAATACATCAATTACAAATCTTAATGGGATATATGAGTTTATATATCACGATATATTACCTCAAGTGATAGAGCGAAAAAACGTCTTAAAAATAGTGTAACCTTCAGCCTATTTCAATATTTGGTTTTGGAATATTTAAATACCAAAAATGATATTTCAAATATATATTGCAGGATAATAATTGTCAGAGTCTTTTAACTTAAAGCTTATATTCTTAATAACTTATTTTTAAGTTATTAGTCTTAAGTTATTAGCAAATAGCTTCAGTGTGATGACTGAGAAGGAATCTGCCAATTTTTCTTCTTTATTCATGAACAGAGAACTTTTATGACTAGTAAAATTGAATGGATCCAAACTCCATAAAATACTTATTTTGGATTTGGAGTTATTCAGGAAACACTGATGTTCCTTCTAATGCATTTTAAGAAATATTGCTGTAGGAAAATCACAAAAACTACAGCAAATTTGAGTAAGCTAAAAGCAGAGCTTTGAGGGGGAGTATAAAAAGGGATTTTTTATGACTATCTGAAAGCTATCCTGAAATACTAGAAAGCATGTTCAGAAAAAAAGGAATAAACCTACAGTTACTTTTCAATTCATCATAAAGCTTAAATTATTAATCTCATCTCAAATTGTATATGGAAATCTAGCCATAGCCATTTCTTATTTTTGCCATATGTGCAAAACTATACTCAATTCTTAGAGTATAAAAATATGAAAATGAAGGAACGTAGCTTCCCATCTGCTCCAGATTCCAGTCTGTATACAACTTTCTGATTTCCCAATCAGCTTCAAAAATGTAAAACAAAAATGAACAAAACATGTAAAGATAAGTAATTATACCTTTCAGAACCTTCAACATGAACTCTAAACTAAAGTATATCAGTGCAGTTTATAAGTCCTTTGAAACATGGCAGATCAAAAACACAAAAGTTATAAAAACTTGTGACAAGGAATTACTGTACATTATTGGCTGTTTGCTACCAAGTGATCGAGCAGAAAGGTTTTGCTGAGACTGCTAATTAGGAAACAAATGAACAGAACAGAATTGTCCATAGCTCAAAGTTCCAAAAAAACAGATAAAAAATCAAGATCTGGATGTGAGAATCTTAGGACCTCTATGATAGAAAAATGGGAAACACATGCAATAGATAACAATTTTCCAATACTAGAAAGTGGTAGAAAGTGGCTTCTAAAACAAACATGCTCTGTTCTTCCTTAGAAATGATAAGTCAATTCCTGAGAGTATTCAGTTAACTTTTTTTAAAAAAAATAATTCTATGTAATTCAGAAATACCTTTTATATACCAGCCTTCCCCAACCTTTTGCCCTCTTAACTATTGGACTATAATTTCTAGCTGTTATGGCATGCAATCTGGATCATTTTTCTCCTGTATATACATCCACTGTGAAAAATTTTCCAGTGCTATAATCTCCATTTTTAGTAACTGGAAGAATATTTGCCCACCCCCATCCCAACACACACACACACACACACACACACACACACACACACACACACACAATCCATTGTTGGATTGGCAAGGCGTGCTAATGAAGCCCTTAGTGCTCCATTCAGAGTTGCATCTGGAGCAATGCTTTTTGGAAACATTTCTTACAAAGTATTCTTGGAAGACATGCACTTTTGTTACCCTACAACAGCTGCACTGCACATCTTTCTCCAGATAAAACTATGAATTAGTATTAATTAATTAATTACCTAATTAATTGCATAATTAATTAATTAATTATGCAACACAAGGTCAAAATTCATTTGTGTATTTTAGGTTAAAATACACACAGAAGGAATAATTTTTTAAAAAATAGTCTTTTAGATTCGTATTATGTGAAATTACACCTTTCACTATGGATTTCAATATGAATGTTTATCCTGATTTTTTTGAATTTGGATTAAACTGAATACAGTACAAAAGTATAAACTTGCAAAACTGAAAAAAAGAACAAATATAAATTAATCAGTCTGTGGCATGCTGCTGCTTTGGGTAAAAAAAAATAAGCATTATAAAATTAACATTGGGAAAAAGAAGTCTAGAAAAGATTTGGGAAACCCCGGAATTTTTCTTTATGAAACAAGGAATTTCCTAGTAATTAAAAAAAAAAAACCACTTGATGATCTGTATTTGTGACGTGCTGAGATTTCTTTCTGTAGTATAATTAGACTATAGAACAGATCATGTACAGTATTGGTATATAGCCGTGATGGCGAACCTATGGCATGCGTGCCACAGGTGGCACGCGGAGCCATATCAGTGGGCATGCGAGCTCAGCTCCCCCCAACTGATTTTCGAGCTTCCTGTGC